CGCCCCCCATGCCACATCGGCGCACAGGCTGTGAGGTCGGGCTCTGTGCCCTGGGCCAGTGTGTCTGTCTGATTTTAGAACTGTAGGTCCGTGGGGAAGTATAGGTAGAAGCCCAGGTTTTGTGCACTTGAGGCCGTTGTGTGTGCCGGGTCACAGCCTGGCCTCCCGTGCGTTTTGTTGGTTTGCATTCTTGGTCTGATTTCTGAGTGTCGTAGTGTTGGCGGACTCATGCGCTTGGGAAGAAACAAAGCCTCTCCCATTCCCATTTTGAATTATGGTCCTCCCATCGCAGCTTTATTTAATGAGCATGGTTAACGATCTCTGTTTTATTTTCAAAAGTCAGTTCTGTGTGTCTTGGCCCACTGGCCACCGCTGCCCTGGTAAGAGTCAGTCCCTGCTGGCCGCCCAGACAGTGCGCCTGTGGCTGGGCCACGACGTGCAGCTGCATTGTGCTCCCGGACTCTGTTTGGGGTAGGTCGCCACAGTCAGTCTCCTCCCCTACCTGGCTGCTTCTCATGTCTCAAAGCCACAAGCAAAGTTTGCACTTGGCCCAGGGCCACGTCCAGAGGCTGGGAGAGCTGTGGCCTCGGCGCGCAGAGACAGGGCAGCTGGACTTTGCACAGCAAACCGTCGCCAGCTCCCCCTCCCCCTCCCATCTGGAGCTGGCCCTGAGGGTTTCTCTGAAGAAACACTCCCCCAATATTTTTACTACCTGTGTAATTTTCATGTTTTATATTTGGAAAGAAAATTCTTTTGACACTCCCAAGACCATTCAGGGAAATTTTATAAAAAAACAAAACATTGTTTTGAGCAGATTGAAATGCAGATGAAGTGAATGCAACTTTCGTGCAGGCTGCACGGTCACACCTGCGGGTGCCCTGCTGTGCCTTAGCTTCACCAGGTGCCGGGACTCAGATGCCTGCAAGGGGCTGGGCAGAGCCCCGGTGCTCAGAAGGGCTCGTTCAAGTTCGTTGTTACGCTGCAGGTGGAAGAAAAGTCCGGCCACTTCAAACCAGGATTCTCTTAGCCAATATTCTCTTCCTCTGGCCGGCTGGTTCTGGGGGCCAGTGGGCCCAGGGTGCAGCGGTGCGGGGTGGCAGGGGGGGTTGGAGAAAGCCCGCCCCCCAGGATTGAGGGGGTGGAGGGTACGCCCTGGCAACCTGCACTGCCTCTTCCTTTCCTTCTGGGATCTGTCTCTCATGTGCGACGTGTGCTGAAGCCCAGGTCCCGGCTGGGGGAGCCGCACCACTCACTTGTTGACAAAAGCCTGTGTGCTCATTGGTGGAACTTCTGGCCCTACCCTCAGCTGTCACCTCTCAGGCAGCCAGGGCCCGACCTGTGACCCACTGCCAGCTGGCTGCCACCCAGGGTGACAGAAAGAAGGCAGAGCTGAAACAGGGTCTGTCCCAGTGGCCCGTGGTCTAGGTCACCAACCTGTCCTCAATTACTGTATACTCCTGCTTCTGGACTTGAACTCTATTAAAACTGTTTTTTTTAAGAAAATGGAGCTGCAAAGGATGATTCACTGCCACACCCATCAGGTGGGCTTGCCATGTTCTGTGAATCTTGAGCGAGTGGTGCCACCCACCTCCAATACCTCTGCTGCCGGCCTGCTGTTGGGGACGCCTGCAGCCCGGCAGGGGCCTCGGCCAGACACAAGCTCGGTGTTGATGTTGTGCGGGCCACCAGGCTGGGCCTGCTGTCGCTGTCCAGGGCCACGTCTGGCACTGTGGTTGTAAAGCTATAGGACCGTTTTTAATAAATAGAGAATTATTAATAATAATTGTCCTGTCACTTATTAACCTGGGGTTGTGGATGTTCATGCTGTGTTTGGTTCTAAGAGTCATTGATCAGAGTTCCAGCGAGATCTGGCCAAGGGGCCACTGTGTCCCCTTAAAACCCTGCCCCAAGTCCCCAAAGCAAGGTGTCAGAACACTGAAATTTTCCCATTGAAAAAGCAGAGGTCCTAACTAGAGTCTCCTCAGTACAGCACATGGCAGTGACCCGAGTACAGAGGCCAGAAACAGCCCAAGCCCTGAGGTCCTCCTCAGCCCCCTGCTCCGGCACTGTGGCTTCGGTCCTGCAGAGACAGGGTTTTTAATACACCAGGAGGATGTGCTGCTTCCTGCCCGCCACTGGTGTTTTAACAGACTCTCTTCTAAGAATCCAAGAGGATGGGCATCAGGACCCAAGACAGGCAGAGCCTTCAGTCTCGGGAGCCTTTGTTTTAACTTCAAGAACAGTCACTTCCGCTGGAC